ACCCCCAAACTTTACCTCTCTTTTCACGGATTCACACACAAAAAAGTGAAACAGCGTGCCTCAATTGTCTAATTGATCAATTTGGCACATTAGTCAAGAGGAAGCAGATTGATCAAAGGGGCCACTCTGGTATCACCTTGGGCTCAGGGGTATGCTCTATACCCCCAAACTTTACCTCCCTTTTCACGGATTCACACACAAAAAAGTGAAACAGCGTGCATCAATCGTCCAATAGATCAATTTGTCACATTAGCCAGGAGGAAGCAGGTCGTGAGTGTTTTTGACCACAAACCCCATCCCTCCTGATTCGCAACCCCATGGACCAGGCAGTAGCAAGTAGCCCAGATGGTCAAGTTGCTGACAGAAACCGCACCCAGTTGCAAAACGGGAGGATGTCTATACGTGTCCGCAGCTCCCATGGGCTGCTGTACCCAGCCAATGGGAGCTGCGGAGCCGGTGCTGGGGGCGGGAGCAGTACCCATAGATTCCCTGAACATCCCTCGCTTAGGGGCCGCCGCAAGGGACCGGAGTCCGGCTCGCAGTGTGATCCGGCCTGCGACCCCCCCTTAGCCCAAGCCCCTGCGCCAATCCGGCCTGGGCTGAGGGGACCGAGGCTGGCGGTTGGATGCAGTTTGGGGAGATTGGGGCGTGCGGCCGGGCCGTTTCACTGCGAGGGCGTGTCGGAGGTTGCCCGCCCTGGGATGCTGCTGCGGGAGGCTCCTCCTGGGGCTGCCCCCAGGGCGGGCCGGGGCCGGGGAGCGGCTCCGGGGAGCGGCTCCGGGGGCTGATGTTGCTCTGCAGAAGTAGGCGGGGCCGGCGCAGAGACCTGGAGTCGGGAGGCGGCAGCGCCGAACTCGGAGCAGCCAGGTAGGCCGGAGCCGGGTCCCGGGGCAGCGTGAGGAGGGGGCTGGCGCGGGGACGGGCCGGCGGCAGCGGGCTGGTCTCCGTGTAGTCCTTCTGTCTGGAAGTCGGGGCGAGCCCGTGAGCCGTGAGGTAACTTGGCGCCTTGCCCCCCACGGGGAGCCCTTGTGTCGCTGAGCCTCGCGGGCGGGGCTGGAATTCAACTTCGGTAACTTGACTTGGTTCAGCCTCTTTACCTAAAACTCCCCAGAAGCGCTACCTGAGGGGGGAAGCTCCGTCCCCAGGCCGTTGAGGGGACAGAGTCTCTGCCGCCTACGTTCAGGGCCAAGCCCCAGCCTCTGGCTGGGGAGATGCGAGTGTAGTGCAGTCATTTGGGGGTTTAGTATTCCTATAAAAACGGCTCCTGCACAGAGAGCCGCTCTAAGGGATGTGCCTTGAGGCTGGAGAACATTCCTCTGAAATAGCCATGTCACCGCGTTTCCAGTCCAAACGTATCCTTTCAGCGTGTACAGCCACAGAGTGCTTGTTGAATGAAGTTAGTGGGTTTGTAATTAGAATGCCTAGTATTTCTAAAAAAAACTGTCAGCGTTCTAGGGTCCTGCAGTTGCTTTTGTTCAGTGCCAGTACCACAAAGGCATTCTGTTGGCAATATTAAAAGAACATGTAAAACCTAGACTAGAAACCCATAACAACCAGTAATGCAGCCCAGATAAACTAACAGTGGTCTTGATTAAAGGAGATTGAGAAGTGGGTGGAGAGGGTTTTTTTATTTAAAAAAATAAAATTGGCCATAAAGACATATTTTCTTAAATGTGCATTACACTACAGACAGCTGCTTTACCACAGTGGTAGTTGGACCTATCCAATGTCTGAGAACACATTTAAAAATACCTTATGTCTAGAATCTGTTTACCACTCATATCCCACAAGCTAGATCAAAGTCAGTACTTTGAAGTAAGTTCTCTTAGGATCATCTGGATACTAGAATAAGTGTCTTTTTTAGTATGTCAGTAGTTGTCATTAATGCTTGGCGTTACTACTGAAGTAAAATTTCAGCTTTGGCTAGGGATTGCTTTGCTGCTGGGGCACCATTTTGTTGTTTTTAAAAAAGAGGTAAGACGGAACCTCTCATAGCTATATCCTTAGGAGAAAGAAGGAACATTCTGATATCTAATATAATTTTCCAACCTAGCAGCTGGACATTGGTATTTTAACTGTTCCTTCTGTTCTTGCTCACACATCATCAGCAGGAGACACCCTTATTAGGGCCTTGTCTAAACAACCAAGTTTTGTTGCCAAAAACTGCTTTTTGGCAACCAAACAGTGTGTGCGTACACACTGCAATGTGACTTTTGTCAGGGAAAAATACCTGGTTTTGGCGACTAAATACATCCACCCCAAGAGACTTACATCTTTTTCCTCTACGTTTTTTTCGACAAAGTGCCAGTGTAGACACCACGCTTGATTTCATTGCTTTAATTGGCGTCCAGGAGGTGTCCCACAATGCCCATCCTGACCGCTTTGGTCAGCAGTTTGAATTCCATTGCCCTACAGCCAGGTAAACAACCATCCGCCCCTCCCCCTTAGAAATCCTGGGAATTTTTGAAATTCCATTTCCTGTTTGCTTGGCGTGGAGAGGTCTCATTGCATCTTCCCAGGTGACCATGGCAGCTTATCACACCAAACACTCTCCTGCTTGGATCACTGCAGAGCTGTTGGATCTGATCAGTATATGGGGAGAGGAGGCTATGCAGTCCCAGCTGTGCTTGAGCCATAGGAATTGGGATACCTATGGACACATTCCTTGAGGCTTGTGTGAAAAGGGCTATGATCAAGACACGCTACAGTGCAGAGTGAAGATAAAGGAGCTGAGGCAGGCGTACTATAAGGCAAGGGAGGCAAACCATCACTCTGGTGCTTCACCTAAGACCTGCCAGTTCTATAAGGAGCTGGACGCTATTCTTGGTGGTGACCCTACCTCACCCCCAAGAGCCCCATGGATACTTTGGAGGGAATGGAGGCGGCAGAAAGAGGACCTAACCCAGAGGATGAAGTTATTGATGAAGAGGTGGAGTTAGATGAGGATATGCAGCTCCTGGCAGGGTTGCTTGATGGGGCAGGCAGCCAGGAACTGTTCTCAACTCCAGAGGTGTCTAGCCAGTCTCAGCAGTCGCTCTCCGGGAAGCAGGAGATGAGACGCCTGGTAAGTGGCTGTGATCTGTGTAGTGCGAAGGTGAGTTCAGGGTATAGAAATGTGGGAGGCTGGTTGTTCCTGTGAGGTGGATATTTCCCTGTGTAGCTAATCCGTATGGCAGAACAGGGTGTTGATGCATGCAGAGATCTCCTAGGAATCCTCCAGAGAAATCTCCAGGAAAGTTTCCTGGAGGTACTTGGTAATCCTCTGCTGAAGGTTCTGTGGCAGAGCACCTTCCCCCATTCGGCAATCACTTGTGCAGGGATCAAAGTGGCACATAGGTGAGCAGCATAGAGAGCAGGGTGGAAGTCACAAGCATGGAGTAGATAGTACCCTTGTTTCCCTGCTTGCCTTTAGCAGTGAGATGTCTGCTAGAATGACCCTTGCCTATGGAAAAGTCGGGGAGAATTTTAGATTTTTTTTCCATAGACTGCTACACTATGAGCCTTGCAGAGAGTGTGTGCTCTTTTCCCCATGTGGAGCAACCTTCCCCCACAACACTCACCATGCCTTGGCTGTTCACGGAGATGTGTGCCTGGCTAGGGTCAGTGAAAAAGTGATTGCAATGTTGCGAAAGGTGAATTTAACTGAAATATTACAATACTGTGCGTGAATTTAACAATCCTGCTTCTGTGCATTGCCCCATGTGCTTCACCAGATGTGGCCTTCAGGAACACCCCACGCACCTCTTCCGAGCGTCTCCGCCAGATAAGAAAGCGCCCAAGACGCAGCAAAGAAGACATGTTCCAGGAGGTACTGCAGTGCTCCAATGCAGAAAAAAGGGAACATAAGGAGTGCTGGGAAGTCGAATGGCAGGACAGAAAAGAGAATCAAGCGTTTGTTAAATACGCAACTGAGAGGATGATTAAAGTAATGGAGGAGCAAATGTAGATGTTACAGTCCTTAAGTGCTGTAGACTGAGCAGATCAGTTCCCCTTTCACTCCACCCCCTCGGACAACTTTCACAATGATAACTGGACCTACACACAGTTGTGAAATTCTGTCTTTCCCTGGTTCCTTCTTTCCCATGAGGCGTTTGCATGTGCTGTTTCTTGTTCAATAAAATCAAAGTTCTTTAATAGTGAATCACCTTTATTTTTTTCTACAAATTGAGATTGCAAGCACTACCAATACATACACAGGCATTGTTATCATTGTCTTACAGGACTATAAGGCCCAAAATGACACCATTGCGTCCTAGGAAAACTAGCACCTGTGACAGAGATATACAGTATTGGTGCTCATTGTCAAAGTGCTGCCTCCAAGTCTCCCTGATTCAAACTGCCCCCTTCTGGGTTCCTCTGACAGCCCTGGCATCTGCCTGCTCAAAATCAGCAGCCAAGTGGTCTGTCTCAGCACTCCACCCCTGATCAAACCTTTCACCCTTAGCTTCACAGAGATTATACAACATGCAGCACGTGGCTATGACCATGGGAATATTATCCTCATTAAGGTCTAGCCTGCCATAAAGGCATCGCTAGCGTGCCTTTAATCTGCCAAATGCACATTCAACTGTCATCCGGCACCTACTCAGCCTGTTGTTGAACCATTCCTTACTGCTGTCCAGGTGTCTCGTGTAAGGTTTCATGAGCCAGGGCTGTAAGGGGTATGGTGGGTACATTTCAAGGTGGCTGTGTCCATCTAAGCAATCTATCTGATAGAAAAGAAATCTACATAGTATATCTGAAAAACAGAAAGAGCCAGACCTACACTGGCAGAACCTCGGTTGTGGGACTCCAGAGACCCCCAACAGTGACGCTAGCTGACTACAGTCCCCACTCCAGCAGTGGTCTGGACCTGGCTGGTATAGCATACAGGGGGAGAGACTTGATTCAGTGCATTTCCAGGCAATGTCCTATGAAGCCATAAATAAAGCTGCTTCCGTTTCACCCTATGAATCCCAAATGGAAGGGGTCAGGGATACTGCCTCCAGAGCTGTAGAGGATGCAAACCATTTAGCATATGGTTTGAAGTCATTGAATGGGTCATTAAAGAGTTCATGATAGTCCCCCCCCCCCACCCACCCCAAATAGGTATTTTTAGCCATGTAGTCCTAGCCAAAGTCAATTTTAGTTAGTTGTATTGTGCTTACCTTACATTCCTCTGTAATGTTACCTGGAAGCAAGAGTCTTCAGTTCTGTCTTAATTGTTGTGTAGTGTTGCTTTGTGCTGTTAGACAATAAGTGGAGTGGTTTATAAAGTTTGTAAAGTGCTTTGGGGAACCTTTCTGGATGAAAGGTGATGTGTAAGTTTGTCATCATAGTGCTAGAGATTATTCTTATAAAATTTACCAGTCATCTGAATGTTGTGCTGATTGTGTGTAAGATAGTAACCTGTATGTTTGATGGAACAGGTTTTTGAAATTCCTAAATACTTGGCCTTTTCTGAGTAAGTAATATGGAGATGGAGAGGATGAACACGGATACGTCTGGTGAGGAGGAAGAGAAGGAAAACATTGAAAGAAACTCTAGAGTTTGTACTAGCTGTGACAAGATTCATGAGTCCATTTCCAAATGGATGCTTCCTGAAAATGCCAGAGGAACCTACTTGGAAAGAGCAAACTGTATCCCTCCTCCTCTCTTCATCATTTCCATTAGTTTAGCTGAGGTAAGAGTTCTTACCTGGTAACATTGTAAATGTTTGCACTTGTCTTGCATTGAATGCTATTATTTTATAGGAACAACAGTCAAACTGTGGGATTTAGATTATACAAATTGCAGTTGTTTCACTTTAGAGTCACGGGCTTCTTGTCTGTTGTTCAGCACTGGAGTTTGCATGTGATCATAAAACATACTGAATTGAGCATTTTTAACTTCTTGATTATCTTCCATTTAGTAACTTCTTTCTCATTTATTGCACAGATGAAGCCCATATTATACATATTGCACCACTATAATACCCTATTTTTCAGTTCCTTGTAAGTCTGGCAAATTTTAATCATGAAGGCTGAAATCTTCCATCTCTGGTTTCTGTTTCATGTCAAATTTTTTTAAATATTTGAGCAAAAATGGTTCAGCATCAACCTTTTCCAAGAATGAGCTTAGTGGAGAAATAAGAAAATATTTACAAAATAGTTTCTGACTTGAAACTTGGTAGGGGACAGTTCAGAAGTGTCCTAACCCTATGAAAATCCACACTCATTTGGCCAGTTTAAGAGCCTCTTAAAGTTGCTACTGGCACATGCACAGCAGAACTTGTTTTACACTTGGTGATTATGTTTCTTAAAATCCTAAACTGAACTGCATATGCTCTACTAGAATTCTTTGAAGAGGTCAACAAGCATGTGGACAAGGGGTATCCAGTGGATATAGTGTACTTAGATTTTCAGAAAGCCTTGACAAGGTCCCTCACTAAAGGCTCTTAAGCAAAGTAAACTATTATGGGATGAGAGGGAAGGTCCTCTCATGGATTGGTAACTGGTTAAAAATAGGAAACAAAGGGTAGGAATAAACAGTCGGTTTTCAGAATGGAGAGAGGTAAATAGTGGTGTCCTCCAGGGGTCTGTACTGGGCCCAATCCTATTCAATATATTTATAAATGATCTGGAAAAAGGGGTAAACGTTGAGGTGGCAAAATTTGCAGATGATACAAAATTGCTCAAGATATTTAAGTCCCAGGCAGACTGCGAAGAGCTACAAAAGGATCTCTCAAAGTGAGTGCCTAGGCAACAAAATGGTAGATGAAATTCAATGTTGATAAATGTAAAATAATGCACATTGGAAAATATAATCCCAACTATACATATAAAATGATGGGGTCTAAATTGGCTGTTACCACTCAAGAAAGAGATCTTGGAGTCATTGTGGATAGGTCTCTGAAAACATCCACTCAATGTGCAGAGGCAGTCAAAAAAGCGAACAGAATGTTGGGAATAGTTAAGAAAGGGATAGATAATAAGACAGAAAATATCATATTGCCTCTATACAAATCCATGGTACATCCACATCTTGAATATTGTGTGCAGATGTAATCGCCCCATCTCAAAAAAGATATATTGGAATTGGAAAAGGTTCAGAAAAGGGAAACAAAAATGATTAGGAGTATGGAACAGCCGCCATAGGAGGAGAGATTAATAAGACTGGGACTTTTCAGCTTGGAAAAGAGATGACTAAGGGGGGGATATGATGGAGCGCTATAAAATCATGACTGATGTGGAGAAAGTAAATGTGTTATTTACTCCTCCTCATAACACAAGAACGTGGGGTCACTACATGAAATTAATAGGCAGCAGGTTTAAAAGGAAGTATTTTTTCACACAGTGTGTAGTCAACTCCTTGTTAGAGGATGTTGTGAAGGCCAAAAAAGAACTAGATAAGTTCATGGGGGATAGGTCCATCAATAGCTATTAGCCAGGATGGACAGGGATGGTGTTCCTAGCCTCTGTTTGCCAGAAGCTGGGAATGAGCGACAGGGAACGGATCACTTGATGATTACCTGCTCTGTTCATTCCCCCTGGGGAACCTGGCATTGGCCATTGTCGGAAGACAAGATACTGGGCTAGATGGACCTTTGGTCTGACCCAGCATGGCCATTCTTATGTTCCCAAATTTGATGACCTCGCTGTCCTCCCCAGTCAAAATATCCTTTGGTTGAGGGAAGATGCAACTAGGCTGTGAGCCCAGGAATTTTAGTCTTGCCTCTTCCGTTGATTGAGAAGTGGACAATTAATAACCAATCTTTATCCAGAAAGACCTCATATCCCTAGCAAGTATTAGTCCCCCATTTTATATGTGAAGTAACTAAGGATCTTAGACATTTCACAAGCTCACTTCTGGCAGAAATGCTGATTAAAATACAGATTTCTGTGGCAGATTCCAGTTTCAGCCACTTAATCCAACTGTCTCACTGAAAGTATAGGCCAAATTGTTTTTTTGGTTATGAAGTCCTGCATATGCGGTGCCTGGAAAAGAACCAGGAATCCTGACTTGTTCTTCTGTGGTGCCACCAGACTCCTTGTTGTTTTTGTAGATACAGACTAACACGGCTATCCCCTGATACTTCATTTTTTCAGTTTTCTTTTTTTAAAGTCCAGTGTTTGTATGTTATTTTCTGTGTGAAAATGTTTGAGTTGGAAAACCAGGCATTTGAACATTAGGAAATGCTAGGACTGAGGTTGCCTGTGCAACCTTAACTCTGTCCCTTTGTGCATATCACAAACTTCTTGTTCTACAAGTACAGTAACTCCTCACTTAACGTTGTAGTTATGTTCCTGAAAAATGCTACTTTAAACGAAACGATATTTAGCGAATCCAATTTCCCCATAAGAATTAATATAAATGCGGGGGTTAAGGTTGAGAATTTTTTTTCACCAGACAAGACTATATTTTATATAATATATATATATATATATATATACACACACATACACAGTAT